GGAGGGTGGTTTTTGGTGGATGCGCCCTATGGTGGACATGGACATGGACGTGGATGGACACGTGTCCCCTCCAGATATCCCTGAATTTTCCCCGGGCACCTCCGAGCAAATTCCTCTGTGCCTGGTGTTGCTGGGTGATAGGTCGTACATGATTTCAGCTTTATTGGCTATTACCCAATTGGTCTCCGAAGTCTTTGGTTAATCCCCAGGCCAGTTCTATCGGTCTGAGCACACCTGAGGCTCCATGACCCAGCCAAGGCGTGGTGATGTAGGATGTTTTCATGCTGGCCGCTCTGGTGGGCTGTTAAGATGTCCGGTTCTTGGTCGCTTGGTGCAATTGAGCAGGTTTTGATTTTTTTAAAAGATTTATTTTATTTGAAAGAGTTACAGAGAGAGGCAGAGACACACACAGAGAGAGAGAGGTCTTCCATCCACTGGTTCACTCCCCAGATGGCTGCAACAGCCAGAGCTGAGCCGATCCGAAGCCAGGAGCCAGGAGCTTCTTCTGGGTCTCCCATGTGGCTGCAGGGGCCCAAGGACTTGGGCCATCCTGCACTGCTTTCCCAGGCCACAGCAGAGGGCTGGATCAGAAGTGGAGCAGCCGGGACTCAAACCGGTGCACATATGGGATGCTGGCACTGCAGGCAGTGGCTTTACCAACTATGCCACAGTGCCGCCTCAGGTTTTGATTTATTGAAAGGCTGTTAGTGGTGTTTTTGTCTGAATCAGCAGCTGCTAGGGTGGGGGACAGAACCCTATCTTTGTTACCATCTCTGAATTTCCCAGCCAAAGGTTGGGGAATAGTTCACCAAAGACCATTATGTAGGGGCCGGTGTTTTGGTACAGCAGATTCAGCCACTGCCTGAAATGTGGCATCCCATGTGGGCACCGGTTCAAGTCCTGGCTGCACCACTTCTGATCCAGCTCTCTGCTGTGGCCTGGGAAAGCAGCAGAAGATGGCCCCAATGCTTGGGCCCCTGCACCCATGTGGGAGACTCGGATGGAGCTCCTGGCTCCTGGCTTCAGCCTGACCCAGCCCTGGATATTGGGACCATGTAGGGAGTGAAGCAGTGGATGGAAGATTGTGTGTGGTGTGTGTGTGTGTGTGTGTGACCTTCTCTCTGTAACTCTGCCTTTCAAATAAATAAATAAATCTTTTTTTTTTAATCACTAAGTAGTTGATGAATTATCAAGGAAGTAAGACAAGAAGTACAGACTTCCTGGGCAAGGAGGAGAGAGAGAGACAATGAAAGCAAAGCAGGGAAGTCTTGAAAATGGAGGGAAAAGGCCAGCGCCACGGCTCACTAGGCTAATCCTCCGCCTTGCAGCGCCGGCACCCCGGGGTTCTAGTCCCGGTCGGGGCACCAGATTCTGTCCCGGTTGCCCCTCTTCCAGGCCAGCTCTCTGCTGTGGCCAGGGAGTGCAGTGGAGGTGCTTGGGCCCTGGACCCACATGGGAGACCAGGAGAAGCACCTGGCTCCTGCCATCGGATCAGCGCGGTGCGCCAGCCACAGCGTGCCAGCCGCAGCACGCCGGCCGCAGCAGCCATTGCAGGGTGAACCAAAGGAAAAAGGAAGACCTTTCTCTCTGTCTCTCTCTCTCACTGTCCACTCTGCCTGTCAAAAGAAAGAAAGAAAGAAAGAGAGAAAGAGAGAAAGAGAGAAAGAGGAGGGAAAAGCATTCCAGGCAGAGAAGACAACAGGTGCAAGAGTCCTGGGGTAGGATCAGAATTAGACCGAGAGACTTGTGTGGCTGGGGTCAGTGATGGGAGCCGAGGTCAGGGACGCCAGCAGAGGACACATTTCACTGGGTTTTTAGTTCTGTTCTAAACATCAGAGGGGAGGGGGGAGGGACAGGATCTAGTTTGTTTTTGTTGAAGCTTCTCCTCATGCTGGTGAAGATGTGAGGCCGGGAAGAGGAAACAGAGACATAAGAGAAAAGGAATTTCAAGCAGCCAAGTGGAACAGCCCTGAGGCAGGGGCTTGTCTGTCAAGGAACACCACAGACGTCACAGTGAACCTGGGACAGAGTAGAAGCTGAGATCCGAGGGCGGTTGGAGGGACCCACGTTGTGGGCAAAGGGGAGGACCCTGGCTTGGCTCTGTTGAACAGCAGGGAGATGGAGATGGATCTGTGTGGGCAAAAGAGGTCCCCAAGCAGGGGGCGTTGGAAATGAGGCTCAGGGGCCAGAGTAGAAGCAGACAAACCAGTCAGGCGACAACACCAGGATCCCAGGGGTGAAGTCGGTGCCTGGGAGCAGAACAGGAGCAGGAAAGGTGGCCAGACCTGTTCCAAGTCCTGCCTGCACTTTCAGGGTGGAGGCCACTGGCTTTGCGGCAGACTCAGGGGGGAGGGGTGGAAGAAGCACAGTTGAGAGGAGGGTGACTCCAAGATCTGGGGTGTGAGTGCCCGGAAGGACAGAGCTGGCTTCAGCAAAGCTGGGCTCAGGGTGAGGGCCGTCGGGTCTCCTGTCTCCAATCCCTCATTATGTTAGAAAGGAGCTAGATCAAAAGTGGAGCCGCCCACCTAGCGGCGCCGGCACACCGGGTTCTAGTCCCGGTTGGGGCGCCGGATTCTGTCCCGGTTGCCCCTCTTCCAGGCCAGCTCTCTGCTATGGCCAGGGAGTGCAGTGGAGGATGGCCCAGGTGCTTGGGCCCTGCACCCCATGGGAGACCAGGAAAAGCACCTGGATCCTGGCTCCTGCCATTGGATCAGTGCGGTGCGCCGGCTGCAGCGGCGGCCATTGGAGGGTGAACCAACGGCAAAGGAAGACCTTTCTCTCTCTGTCTCTCTCTCTCACTGTCCACTCTGCCTGTCAAAAAAAAAAAAGTGGAGCCGCCGGGACTCGAACCAGCAAATAACAGCGTAACTGGCAGCACCGCCCCGCCCGTGCCTAACCTGATGGTTCTCACGCGACTTCTCCTATGTCTTCATTTCTGCAATATCTTACTGCTTCACTTTGCTCTTGACTTACTTTTGTATGTCCTATCTCTTTTTAATGTATTATTTTATACATGGCTGCTTGCTTTTTTAAAGATTTACTTATTTATTTGAAAGGCAGAATTGGCCGGCGCCGTGGCTCACTAGGCTAATCCTCCACCTAGCGGCACCAGCACACCGGGTTCTAGTCCCGGTCCAGGCTCCGGATTCTGTCCCGGTTGCCCCTCTTCCAGGCCAGCTCTCTGCTGTGGCCAGGGAGTGCAGTGGAGGATGGCCCGAGTACTTGGGCCCTGCACCCCATGGGAGACCAGAAGTACCTGGCTCCTGCCATCGGATCAGCGCGGTGCGCCGGCCGCAGCGCGCCAGCCATGGTGGCCATTGGAGGGTGAACCAAAGGCAAAAAGGAAGCCCTTTCTCTCTGTCTCTCTCTCTCACTGTCCACTCTGCCTGTCAAAAAATAAAAAAAAAAAAAGGCAGAATTACAGAGAGAGAGAGAGAGGTCTTCCATCTGCTGGCTTGATCCCCAGATGGCCACAATGTCCAGGGTGGGGCTGTTTCTAACCCAGGAGCCAGGAGCTTCTTCCAGGTCTCCCATGTGGGTGCAGGGGCCCAAGGACTTGGGCCATCTTCTAGTGCTTTCCCAGGCCATAGAAGAGAGCTGGATCTGAAGAGGAGCAGCCGGGACTAGAACCGGCGCCCATATGGGATGCCGGCGCTTCAGGCCAGGGCGTTAACCCGCTGAGCCACAGCGCCGGCCCCTCTTATTTTATTTTTCTAAAGAGAGAGGGTGAGAGAGGTAGAGAGAGAGGAGAGAGAGGCGGGGGAGGGAGAGAGAAAGAGAGAGAGCAAGAGGGAGGGGGGAGAGAGAGAGAAAGAGAGATAGAGAGAATCTGCTATCTGTTGGTTCACTTCCTAAATGCCTGCAACAGTTGGACAGGAACCCGGGTCTCCCATGTGGGAGTCAGGGACCCAACCATTGGAGCCATCCTGCTGCCTCTGGGGCGTGCATCAGCAGGGAGCTGGGGTCAGGGAAAGAACCCAGACCCTCTGATATAGGATGCAGGAGTCTTAACAGCTAGGCTGTCTGCTCCTTCTTGTAGCTTTCTGTTATTCAAGTGCTATATAGTGTGAAACTGTGCAATGGTTCTTGTTTAATTTTTCTTACTGACCATTGCAAATTTTTTTGGGGGGTGGGCAATGTGGGGCAGCAGATTAAGCCACTGCTTGGGACACCCACGTCCCAGATCAGAGTGCTGGTTTGAGACCCAGCTACTCCGCTTCCAATCCAGCACCCTGGGAAGCAGTGGGCGATGGCCCAAGTGCTGGGTTTGATACCTGTCTCTCACCTCTGATTCCACCTTCCTGCTAATGCAGACCCTGAGAGACAGCAGTGGTGACTCAAGTAGTTGGATCTCTGTCACCCACATGGGAGATACGCATTGAGTTCCTAGCTCCAGGCTCTGGCCTGCCCCAGCTGTACCTGTTGCAGGCATTTGTGGAGTGAACCAGCAAATGGAAGCTTGCCCTCTCTCTGTCAATTAAAAATGTGTAAATACTGAAAACAAGTAGTAACGTAAATGGAAAGGGGGTATAAGAGCAGCCATCTGGCTTAGTAGTTAAGCCATTGACTGGGATGCCCGCGTCCAATAGGAGAGTGCCCAGGTTTGAGTCCTGGCTCCACCCCTAGGTCCAGCTCCCTGTTAATGGGCACCTGGGAGGCAGTGGTGATGACTCGAGTGATCAGGTCCCCTCCGCCCACATGGGAGGCCTTGACTGTGTTCCTGGGTCCTGGCTTCAGTGTGGCTCTGCTCAGCTGTGGCAGGTGTTTTGGGAAGTGAATATGAAGATGGGAGCTCATCTGTCCGTATTTATCCACATATTATAGAGATATATATATGATCTATCTGTATCTATCAATATCTCTCCACCTACCTATCATCTATATCTATATATCTATCACCTATCTATATATCATATATGTCATCTATATATCAATGTTTATCATCTAGCTATCTATCTCTCAAAAAAAAAATAAAGCAAAAACGAGGGGGTGGGCTCAGGGGTACAACAGGTGCCTTGACCAGCACCTTGGACAGCTCCCCGCCTCCATTCCGATTGCTCCAGGTTGGCCATGGAAGAAACAAATCTCACAGGGATCTCCGAGTTCCTGCTCCTAGGCCTCTCAGAGGACCCTGAACACCAGCAGCTGCTGTTTTTCCTCTTCTTGACCATGTACCTGGTCACAGGGCTGGGCAACCTGCTCATCATGCTGGCCATCGCCACCGACGCCCGGCTCCACACGCCCATGTACTTCTTCCTGGCCAACTTGGCCTTTGTGGACATCTGCTTCACCTCCACCACCATCCCCAAGATGCTGGCCAATCACGTGTCAGGGCACAAAGGGATCCCTTACGCGGGCTGCCTGACTCAGATGTTCTTCTTCATCTGGTTTGCAGGCATCGACAGCTTCCTGCTGACGGCCATGGCCTACGACCGCTACGCAGCCATCTGTCACCCTCTGCACTATACCACGTCCATGACGCCGCATCTCTGCAGCCTCCTGGTGGTGGCCTCCTGGGTGGCCGCCTTTGGCAATGCCCTGACCCACACGGTGTTACTGACCCGCCTCTCTTTCTGCACCCACAACCAAGTCCCGCACTTCTTCTGTGATCTCAGTCCTCTGCTGAAGCTGGCCTGCTCGGACGTCTTCCTCAACAATGTGCTGGTGTACACTGTGGGCGCCCTGCCCATCATCACGCCATTCCTGGGCATCTTGGTCTCCTATACCCGCATCTTTGCTGCGGTACTGAAGATCCCGTCCGCTGGAGGGAAGCGGAAGGCCTTCTCCACCTGCGGTTCTCATCTCTCTGTGGTGTCCCTGTTCTACGGGACGCTCATTGGGGTTTATTTCAGCCCCACGTCCTCTCACACGGCCCAGAGAGACACAGCTGCTGCAGTGATGTACACGGTGGTCACCCCCATGCTGAACCCCTTCATCTACAGCCTTCGAAACAGCGACATGAAGGGCGCCCTGGGGGCTCTCGTTAGCAGGAAGCCGGCTTTCATGCAGTGACCACAGGGTTCAGGGATCCGAGTGTCCAAACACAGTATCCACCTGTCCTGAATGTCCTTGTAACACCCTCTCCTTAAATATTTTTTCCGGGGCTGGCACTGTGGCGTAGTGGGTAAAGCCGCCACCTGCAGTACCAGCATCCCATATGGGCACTGGTTCAAGTCCTGGCTGCTCCATTTCCCATCCAGTTCTTTGCTATGGCCTTGGAAAGCAGTAAAAGATGGCCCAAGTCCTTGGGCATCTGCACCCGCATGGAAGACCCAGAAGAAGCTCCTGGCTCCTGGCTTCGGATTGGTACAGCTCTGGCTGTTGTGGCCAACTGGGGAGTGAACCAGCGGATGGAAGATCTCTCTCTCTCTCTCTCTCTCTCTCTCTCTCTGCCTTTCCTTCTCTGTGTGTAACTCTGACATTCAAATAAATAAATAAATTGTTTAAAAATATTTTTTCGTATTGTTTCAGTTCTTGTGTTTGTCATCAGATTCTTCCAACAACTGTTAGTGGCACATCTGTAGTGTCCTAGGCACTCCTTTAAGGATAAGGACATAAAGGGGAGGCAAAGTTCTCAACTTTACAGGGCTTACCCTCCAGCTTGAAGCACAAAGAAAGGTTCAAAAAAGTCCTCTGGGAGCCAGACCAGGACTCCTGTTCTGCTTTGAGTTTAGGTTCAAGTTCAGCTGCTGTAACAGAAAGAGTCAAATACGCACAGGCTCATGGGCTGGCCCCATGGTGCAGAGGGTTAAGCTGCCATTTGCAGTCTGCCAGTCTCGTCTCCGGACACTGTTTTTGTATTCTGGTGGCTCTGCTTCTAAATCAGCTCCCTGCCAATGCACCCAGGAAAGCAGCGGAAGGATTTGGGCCCCTGAACCCACGTAGGAGACCCAGATGGAGCTCCAGGCTCCTGGCTTTGGTGTGACCCAGCCCCGGCCACTGTGGGCATTTGAAGAATGAGAGAGCGAATGGAAGATTCTCTCTCTCTCTCTCTCTCTCTCTCTCTCTCCCCCTGCAACGCCTTTCCAATAAATAAATCTTTTGTACAAAAGACTGTAGCAGAGTAGAAGCTCAAACAAATAGAAGGTAATTTCTACCTTGTGTAATAGTACAAGTCCAAGGTTGCGGGGTGGATCTGCCCCTCTGATTCAGACACTGGAGATCCAGGTTTCCTATGTGCTGCTTCCTACCCATTTCTCAGTATGTTATTCTGGTCTATAAGACTGAAGGCGTGGAGGCAGGCATTTGGTGTAGCAGTTAAGGGGGAGCCAGCTCTGTGGCGTAGTGGGTACAGCCACTACCTGCAACGCCAGCATCCCCTATGGGCACCGGTTCAAGTCCCAGCTGCTCCAGTTCTTATCTAGCTCCCTGCTATGGCCTGGGAAAGGAGTGGAAGATGGCCCAAGTGCTTTGGCCCCTGCCCCCGCATGGGAGACCTGGAAGAAGCTCCTGGCTCCTGGCTTTGGATCAGCTCAGCTCTGGCCACTGCGGACACTTGAGGAGTGAACCAGCAGATGGAAGACCTGTGTGTGCCTCCCTCTGTCTGTAACTCTAGCTCTCAAATAAAAACTAAAATCTTTAAAAAAGAAATAAGATGTCTCTTGAGACCTCATATCCCATATCAGAGTGCCTCAGTTTGGGTCTTAGCCTGGGAAGTAACAGGTGATGGCTCAAGTAGTGGGGTCCATGCCACCTCTATGGGAGACCTGGATGGAGCTCTGAGCTCCTGGTTCCACTCCCCCTCCCTCTCCTTCTCCCCCTCCCCCTCTCCCTCTCCCTCTCCCTCTCTCCCCCTCTCCCCCTCCCCCTCTCCCTCTCCCCCTCTCCCTCTCTTTCTATCTTTACTATACCATGAATATAATAAATGAGAATTTTAAAGATATATTGAAGCTGTGAACTCTGATTTATTTTTTAAAAAAAGAATTATTTATTTAATTAATTGAAAGAGTTACACAAAGAGAGGAGAGGCAGAGAGAGAGAGAGAGAGAGAGAGAGAGAGAGAGAGAGGTCTCCCACCAGCTAGTTCACTCCCCAGTTGGCTGCAACGGCCGGAGCTGCGCCGATATGAATACAGGAGCCAGGAGCTCCATCTGGGTCTCCCACGCAGGTGCAGGGGCCCAAAGACTTGGGCCATCATCCACTGCAGTCCCAGGCCATAGCAGAGAGTTGGATGGGAAGTGGAACAGGCAGGACTAGAACTCACGCCCATATGGGATGCCAGCACTGCAGGCAGCAACTTTATCCACTACACCACAGTGCCGGCCCCGAACTCTGATTTCAAAGCAATTCTCAGAGAACACGGCAGATCTAAGCCGGCTCTCAGGGAGCGCCGCCTCCTTCTCACGTTCACTTGCAAAGGAAGACCCTGAAGATGTGACCCCCGGTGGACAGCTGTGGCCCTGGCTGCAGCTCTGCCAGTACAGGAGGAGGAGATGGACTTCTGTGGTGCTCTCTAGCTGCCAAATACAGGGGAAACAGCTTCTTCCCACCGCAGGAGACACTTGTGACTCCTCCCTGTCCTACTGAGACATCCAGCCCGCAGCCTAAAACCTCCAGCAGGTGCAGGCTTGCTTGCTTTCTTCCTTCCTTTCTTTCTTTAAAAGTCACAGTGACGCCAGCGCCGCAGCTCACTAGGCTAATCCTCCACCTAGTGGCGCCGGCACACCGGGTTCTAGTCCCAGTCGGGGCACCGGATTCTGTCCCGGTTGCCCCTCTTCCAGGCCAGCTCTCTGCTGTGGCCCGGGAGTGCATTGGAGGATGGCCCAGGTGCTTGGGCCCTGCACCCCATGGGAGACCAGGAAAAGCACCTGGCTCCTGCCATCGGATCAGTGCGGTGCGCCGGCCGCAGCGCACCAGCCACGGCGGCCATTGGAGGGTGAACCAATGGCAAAGGAAGACCTTTCTCTCTGTCTCTCTCTCTCACTGTCCACTCTGCCTGTCAAAAAAAAAAAAAAGTCACAGTGACAGAAAGAGGGAGAGAGAGAGAGAGAGAGAGAGAGAGAGAGAGAGAGAGAGAGAGAGAATCTTCCATCTGCTGATTCACTCCCCAAATGGCCACAACAGCCAGGGCTGGGTCCAGACGGAAGCCAGGAGCCAGGACCTTCTTCCAGGTCTCCCACGTGGGTGCAGGGGCTCAAGGACTTGAGCCATCTTCCACTGCTTTCCCAGGCCACAGCAGAGAGCTGGATAGGAAGTGGAGCAGCCGGGACTCGAACCTGCGTCCCTGTGGGATGCTGGCATTGCATGTGGCAGCTTTACCCGCTTTGTCACCGTGCTGGCCCCTGCTACTTCGGTGTAATAACATGAACATGAACAAATACAGCCTGGGATCTTACCCTACTCGCCGGCTGCCGGCTTACGGATTCGAGTGGAAGACCCAGGACTCCAGGGTCAGAGCCACAGGACTTTTATTATCGGAGGCTTGGCAGGCAGCGTGCACTGTGGGGCTGCGTGGGTTCCTCCCAGCTCCCAACGGTGGGCGGTGACCAAATCTGTCCCTCTGTTAGGTCAGAGGGAGACAGTTATCTTGATTCTATGGACAGCAAACAAATCTGCCCAGGAAAAAAACTCTATCTCCCCAATTCAAACATCCTTGAAAAGATAGTGAACAAAAGGTGTCCACACCCCCTTAACACAGAAAACACAGGGAGCCCCGGGGAGCACCAGATCCCAATCACACCACTGGGGGTGGTGGCTGTGGCCCACGAGGGTAACTCAGGCTGCGGGGCACGTGGCAGGGGCAGCCCAGGGGCCGGGGCCACGGAGCCCAGGTTCCAGTCCCAGCTGTGCCACTTTCTCAGCTGTGTGGCTTCCACCTGCCCATCCCTGGGGTTTTCCAGATGGAGAACCTCACAGATGTGAGACCCATGTCACAGGTAGGCGGTGAAGGGTAGGCGAGTCGGTGTCGCCACACCCAGGGCACCCAGGACAGCATGGTCCTACTGAGGCCCTGTCTGTGTGAACTGTAATTCTTACACTGGGCTGGCAGTCCCGCCTGGTTTTCGGCATCTGGGGGCAGCTGTGTAACCAGCTCGGGTCCCTCCAAGTGTGGTTTAGAGACTTGAGGGACATGGGCGCTTTCTCCTCTGCGCTCTACACCGATTCGCTCCCTCCCCAGGGAATCCTCCACACCCAGGGCAGCAAGGCAGGCACTGTGGTGGATCCAGGGTCCCCAAGAATCAGATGGACCCGGGTTCAAATCCTGGCTTTGCCACGCCCCAGCTGAGTGACCTCGGGTGAGCAATTTTTGCGGCTGGGGTGTCCCCATGTTACAAAACTCCACAGAGAACTCACATGTCTGGGGCACGGGTTTGGCACAATAGTTAAGGAACCACCGCCCATATCAGAGGACGTGGGTTCGAGTCCTCCCAGTCCAGCTTCCTGCACATGCACACCCTGGGAGGCAGCAGGTGAGGGATCAAGTGCTTGGGCCCCTGTCACCCACGTGGGAGACCCGGGTGGCGATCCCGACTCCTGGCTTCAGCCTGGCCCAGCTCTGGCTGCTGTGGGCATTTGGAGAGTGAACACGTAGATGGACGAGTTCTCTCTGTCTGTCTCTGTCTCCGTCACTCTGCCGTTCAAGCAAATTTGAAAAAATAATTACTTTTAAAAAAGAAGGAAAATTCACATGTTTCAATTCCATCTTTTGGTGAACTCTTGGAAGCCCCCTATGGGTCAAAGGTCAAAGGTGTCAATAATTCTCAATTAGGATGACCATTTTTATCACCATCCGTGAGCAAGGCCCCCAGGACACGAGCCGAGCACATCTTTTCCTACCAGTTCTCTGTCCCCTCACTTCGCACCCTCGGTCTCCACGCACGCCTCAAACTCCAGGAGTCACCCCATTTGTGGGATTGGGGCAAGGGGACCCCCCATCGCCCACCCAGCCCCACCTCCAGTATGCACTGAGTGGACACCCTCCTCTTCATTTGCATAAGTTCTGCCCCTAACCCCACCCCCTTTGAATGCTCCCCTCATTTGCCACCTCCTCAGGGAAGCCTTCCCTCACTTCCACCCAAGACTAAGCAGCTGCTGACTACACCAGGGCATTTCAAAAACTCCACTCCAGGCCGGCACTGTGGTGTAGTGAGCTAGGCCTCCACCTGCAGCACCGGCATCCCATAAGGGCGCCAGTTCGAGTCCCGGCTGCTCCACTTCCCATCCAGCTCTCTGCTATGGCCTGGGAAAGCAGTGGAAGATGGCCCTGGTCCTTGGATCCCTGCACCCACATAGGGGACCTGGAAGGAGCTCCTGGCTCCTGACTTCAGATCTGTGCAGCTCTAGCCATTGGGACCATTTGGAGAGTGAACCAGTAGATGGAAGAGCAACCTCTCTTTTTAAAAATTTGTTTATTTGAAAGGCAGAGCTACAGAGAGACAGAGAG